TCCATCCTCTTTTGACTTTCTTTTCTCCTCCCTTTATTTTGCCTGGTATTTCCTCTGTCCTTTCACTGTTCTTCTGATTTCTTCTTTATACTTCCCATCTGTTCTTGTGTGTTCTCTCTCTCTCCTTCCCTCCTCTCCCCTTTATCTAGTCCTCTCCTTTCATCTCACTTGTTCTCTCTGTCTTTTACTCTGTTATCAATTCCTCCTCTCACACAACAGGACTTGCCAGCTATTTTTAATTAATCAGTGTAACACCAATTAGATCTACTTGTCTGTTTTGTCTTTTCCTTTCTCTTGACCACACACACACACAGAACACAGAAATTCACACACACACACACACACACACACACACACACACACACACACACACACACACACACACACACACGCCAGAGTAGAAGCTGCAGAGTGACCCATGTGGCCGGCTCATTCTTCATTCGTTTAGGGAAGCCAGTGTTTAGATTGGCTTATGGAGAAGCCACTTTAGGCCACTAATGAATCCACAGCCGTCATTAACATACAAATAGCTCCATTAAGAAAACATAGAGTCATGCAGTTTTATATTACTACCCCTTTTCCTTCTGAGACACACATACACACTCCCTCACTGCAGCGAGTGCACTGGCTGGTTGTCAGAGGCCATATTGCAACAGCACCGAACAAAAGGGCATTTTATTTATGAAACCCACAATGAGAAGATTAAAACATTTGAGATTTCACAACTATCTAATAATATATTACCAAAATAAACTTCTTCCAACTATTGAAAACTCATTTATTTCCCTTCCTCCTCAGTCATTCAATGCTATTTTTCCTCAGTTGTCCTCCTTTTCTTTTACTTTTGTTTTGTCTTCTCCTATTTCCTCCTTCTCTCAATCACTGTGTTTCAGGCACATCACACTTTAGATTTTCCCCAAAAAGAATTACAACTTTACATGAGATAATAAGTGATGGGAACAAATAAAACTCCACATAAGTAACCATATTCTTAGTCTTTCTCTTACAAGTGGATGCATCATCTGTGTCTACTGTCACCCACTTTCACAAGCTTCACAAAAGTAACCCTTCAAAACTAAAAATGCTTTCCTTTTTTTGGGTCCTCTGGCGCAGCTTTTGACATGTGACATTTCTTCATCAGTCCCCCTGTCCCCTGAAACCTCCATCTACCCCTCCATCTGTCCTGACTAATAGAGCCCATACACTCATCCAATCAATCTGTCCATTCCTTAATTGGAGGAGAGATATTCTAATTAACTGTCCTAACGGCATGCCCACCAATCACGGCTCAGGGTGTTAAGTGACTCATTCAACTCACCGCTTCTCTTTGGCGTCCAAGCTTCTCTCAGCGTGTCCATACAGTGCACAGTGTATGCACAGTGCACATAATGTACAAGTGTGCACGTGGGATGAGTTGGGGGGGCTGTCATAGAGGGGAGGTCTGTTGTCATGGTAACATATTCCTTCTTTTTCTCTTCCTCCATTAACAGACAGCAGCCAGCCGTCTCTCGCCCAGCCCTCTCTGACCCTGCAGAGTTTTCCCTATGGAGGCTGTGAGTCTGTGGAGCTCTCCTACCAGAGTGGTATGTGCACACAACTTAGGTAGTTCAGCCACTGTGATAGCTGGTGAGTTACTGAGTCAGTCAGTAAGCCAGGCAGTTAGTTTGTTTGCCAGTTAGCTAGCTAGGTAGATAGATAGATAGTCAGTTAGGTAGTTACTGTATTTCATATTGGTTGCACCAAAGTGATGAATTTAGTATTTTAGGCTGCAGAGGTCAAAAATCGATCTTTCTCCTTTCAACATCAGAGTTCACAGCACAGGTAGATTGCTAAAGACTGATTAACTGTATAATATGTAACAATGTTCACCTTCCATCCATCTACCCACTCACTCTCCCTCCCCCATATCATATACTTACTCTATCTAACCTCTTTACATATTCATATGTTTCTGACTCTTCCTGAGTGTCTGTGAAATGTGTCTGTACCTGCAGGTCAGTTCCAGGCAGGCCAGTTTCAGCCGGCTATTCGAGTTGCCGACCTCCTCCAACACATCACCCAGATGAAATGTGGACAGGGTTATGGTTTCAAGGAAGAATATGAGGTGAATAGACACACACACACACACACACTTACGTAGGTTTATAATGACAACAACAGTAAAATAGGCATCTATCTTTAGATTGACAACATTACAAGCAGCTATTAGTAAGAAGGTCGAGGGGCTGCAGCTACAGCACCTAGATAATAGGTATAATAAAATGTTTGTGTGACCCCAGAATGTACAAATATAACTGCTCGTAAAAAACAGAGAGAGACATATTTTCTTTTATAATAAGCACATGGGTATTGTGAAGTCTTAAACTAGACTGGCACCATGTCTGGGGTGTATCCTTGCCTCTTGTTAAGTGCAAGACGGGATATGCTTTAGCTGCCCCCACGACCCTAAATAGAAGTTAGCAGGTGCACTGCAAAGTTTCTAACAATCAAAAGCAGGTTT